TTTGTTGAATTTATCCTCTAAGTCATAAAAATGATTGGGGCTGTTTAATTCCACTCAATTCTTAGCAACAAACATGATTTGCTGCAATTTGCTTCAACCTGCGCCATACGTGGATGTAGAGTTAATCTTTAAAACCGTCTGTGACCTCTTGCCAAACTCTGTTGTGACCTCTATATCTCCCCTCTTACAGGACATCTTTTTTCACCTGCACTTCCAGGTATTACAAAATGAAAAAGAATGATGTGCTTTTGCACTGCATGTATATAAGTCATGTGTCCCACATGTACTGTTTATAAAGGCGCATGTCATGCAATGCAGTTTGCTGTGTGTAGTATTTTCAACCAAAATCTAATCTCAGACTCTACTTACTTTGGTGCGTGCACTAGTTCTGCTCCTGTGTTATTTTTAGCCGAATGCCTTTTTCTTTTTTTTTTTCAATTTCCATTTCAAGTCTGATAAATCACACGGTTGCTGCATTCTTGTGAAACATAGGCAGACGCAGCACTATTAACCGTGAAAAAGACCGCTTATTTTCTTGTCCTGCAGTTTCCTTTCATGCTCTCTGTGAGGGCTTTTTGTCCTTTTTTTGCCACAATGTACAGTGGAAGCCTGTGGGCTGTCAGTATGTATTTACGTGAATGCCAGCAAGACAAATTCTCCCATTTTGCTTCATAATGAAAGTGTTTGTATGAAAAAGAGCCCATTGGCTCATTTTCTCTGCCAGCGGCTCGCTGTTTTTCTGTTAATGCATTGTGCTGCTCTGTAATGCATGCACATTTTACCGTGAACTATTCAGCCATTATAGGCAGCACAGAAAAAAAGTCTTAAGAATGACATGAAAATGATAAGAATTACATCACAAAGGAAAGGCGCTACAGTCAAATCATTCTTTGTCACGGTTTCTAACATAAATTCATATGCAAGATTTAGGTGTTAGAAATAGTTCAGGTTTCACAACAAATCACGTGTCATGATGGATTTACCTGTTTAAGAGAGTTAGTTGTGGACTATTAATTTGCTGTCATGAGTGAAAAGGATGCTTAGTTAATGTAAGCCTCGATCACAGCTCCTAGTGGTCAGCTTCATAGTAAATTGAAACTACTTGAAAAGCATAGGCAGCAAGATTTTTATTAGTAATGATCTAGTTTATATTGTTAGCAGCTTGTTAGCCAACGTAAACATTGCTTTTCATGCATTTTCAGTCTAGTCCTTGTACCTTTTTCAGAAGAATGTTTAATATCATCATCATCATTATTATTATTATTGTGATCTATGAGCCATTCAAGTATAAAAAGGCACCCAACTCAAGGATGATCCAGTGTTGTCTAAACATTAAATTTGCTGAATTAATTACTTGCAGCCTCTATCAAAAACATTTTATATGTTCCAGTCTCTTCAGCTAAATCTACAAAAATGCCAAAGATAACACATCTTGAAAGGCTTTGTCCCCAAGTTGATTTCTTATAAGTTAGAACAGGGCTGCCCAATCCCAGTCCTCAAGAGCTACTATCCTGCAGCTTTTAGATGCATCCCTACTCCAACACAGCTGAATCAAATGGTTTGATTACCTCTTCAGCATGCCATCATGTTTGGCAAAGGCCTGATAACAAGCCATTCATTTGATTCGGGTGTGTGGGAACAAGGATGCATCTAAAAGCTGCAGGACGGTAGCTCTCGAGGACCGGGATTGGGCACCCCTGAGTTAGAAACTCAGCATTGTGTGTAGTGTGTCCCTAAAAATTCTGAGGAAGAAAGTTTTTAGTGTTATAATGCATTAGTAGTGCTACATTAATGTGGGTCAGCATTGAGGGCCTCTGCTCTCTCCCTTGCTTGTTGAAGTTATTTGGGTTAGTGTGTTTTTTTGGCTGATATCCTGTCTCACTTGTGCAATGATGTCAGTAGAGAGACCAACTAGGAGTCTCAGAATATTGTGTTTTTATTATTATCTCATATTATTAATAGGTACATTTAGCATCCACTGAGCAACATTGACATTTTTTAATCAGTAGCCACCTTGACTAAAAATTGGCAGTTATGCGCCAAATCAACTCGAGCTGCATCGTGTCCTACACAGTAATTTGTCTCATTGTTTTCCCAAACTGGTTGCCTTACTTTCATTTTGACAGTACATTTATGTTCATAAGTTCCCAGCTTTACCTCTGACAGCTGCTACTGCTCAGCATCACTGCATGTTACTTTAACCCCCTCCCCCAGCCAGCATCCACCTGTAGGCTCTGGGGCTGTATTTATTCATCACTTCCCAATTGCCCCATGTGTTGTATTTGTTGTACTCTGCTGCAACCATTTCAACACATCTACGCACAGAATGTTGTTTACTCAGCAATATCTATTTACATGTACACAAGTGAGCACAGCTGTGTTCTTGTGAATGAAACATAGGAATAATATTATTAATAATAATAATGATGAGTAATAATTATTTGTAATTTAACAGTTTAATTGTAACAGTCCAAAGTTTGAGGAAAGAAAAAACTACACCCTTTTTTAAAAAAACAACCCAAAGATAACAAATTAAGCCTTTCGAGATGGGATGTGAATTTGGTAAATGGACAGGTAAAGCACTTTTTTCTGTTGAGGATGTGACAAGTTGTTCATATAGCATCGTTCAGACATGAACTTATACTCTGATGGATGCAGGGAGGAACTCTGTACCTTTTTCTGTATCTTGCCCACGGATACTTCAGCATACAAACTGGAGAAGCCAGGGATTGATTCACCGACCTTCCGATCGGTAGCCGACCCAGTCTTCCGCCTGAGCCGCAGGATGTTTCGTGGGTTTACATGTATTTTTGTGTAAATATGAAATTAGAATCTTCAAATGTATTAGCTGTAGTTGTTAAAAGGTAATAGGTAACATTACAGCATAAGCGTAGGAAGTATACAGGTAATATTAAAGCGCACTGATGTAGAATGTGAGGTAGAAAAGATAGGAACACACTGCAGGGATTATGACGAACAAGTGAAATTGATCAACAGCCAACAAAATACAGTATATTATACAGTGAGTTACACAATCAATGCTAGTGTACATATGCTGCAGCAATTTCCCTGAAGAATATATACTTTAAAATACTCATTTTAGCTAAAAATTAAGGCTCATTTTCTGTGGTTGTGCAACACCAACTTTAAAAATGTGTAGAAAAAGAAAAGAAGCCTTAGAAACTGAAGCCGTACAGTAAGTTTTTTACAATAGCTGCAGCAGCAGTTTTGCTCGAGGGAAGCTGATGATTGGGTTTCAGAATAAATTGGATGTCGTGTTGATATTCCTCCCGTATTGACATCAGCACAGCATTGTCTCAGGCTTTTCTACACCGCTGCACAAAGAAGTGAGCGCCTGAGTTTCTCTCCGTTCTAACAGAGAATGAAAGGAAGATTTTCACATAGCTGGAGGCCTGAGGGTTAAAAGCCATTTCAAAGTCTGCTTTTTATTCGTAATGGTTTCTTCAAAGGGCCGGGTCGATCACGACGTGTGACTACTGTAAGTGATGTGCCCCTGTTGTGTGACCCTTTTCTCTTTGAAATATTTGATTTTATTTTTAGAGCAATAGAGCAGGAAGCACCTGACCTCCAAAACTGTGTTTGCTCTCACTGAGAAAGGTGTGGCCGTCATTACTGAAATGACCTCTGCTGACATGGCTGTATTTTTAGGTAGACTTACAAACTTTTATATGAATCTGTTTTTAGTTAATAATTACATTTTCCAAAGAAACTGCAGCTTTTACTATCTTTATTTATTGGAATATTTCTTATGACCATGTTTTAAAAAAATGACAAAGACGCACAAACACGAGGGCTCAGAGGGCTCAAGAAGTGTTCGTTCATCTTAATCCTTGTTTTTCTAGTTTTTTCCATGAGATGAAAGAATCAAATGGAAGTCAGAGATAGGACGGAAGGCTTCAGTTTAAAAGACCAAAAGAGGAAATTCAATTCAATTCAATTCAATTTTATTTATATAGCGCCAAATCACAACATAAGTCGCCTCAAGGCGCTTCATAGATACAGAGAAAAACCCAACAAAGATCTATCTAACAATACTGATTGGGAAACATGGGACGGACTATTAACATGGTTTGATCCAGATGTGTGAGATGCATCTTCAGCATTTCTGTGTTTGTTTGGTTATGGACGGCTCTTCTCTACCCTTTTTCTTCTTTTGAACTGGAACAATTTACAATGACTGTTCACTTCTGCCATTTAAACACTGATTTTCACGACTATCAGGGTGTACGGATCTCTGAGTGTTGCATGCGGTCGACCGCAGATGATGGTGTGAATAAATATCAGATTACTGGGAATTTCCCTAGGAATAATGTCTGGTTGACTAGTACATACAGACAGCAGGTTCCCTAAGCCTTCGCTTTTTCACAAGACAAAAATGTGCAAAATTTTCAGTGATTCCTGTGTGGTCAGGGCACACCGGATGGCTCTGGGTTTTGCGCTGTGTTTACATGAATTAGTGAAATGGAGACAAAATGTCATCTTTTTGTTTACATGAAGACAAATAATGTATTTTACTAGGAAGGGTTTTGCTGCTGTGCTAGAAGTGTAAGTGAGGCTCCCCACAGTTGTTGTCAAACAGGTGCTTAAATGCTACCATGATCTTTTCATAATCCTAAGTAGCTTCACTTTTAATTAAGAGTACAATTGGCATGAAGAAAGTGTCAGTGGTTTGAAAAATATTGGAATTATGACTGTAGTAGGTGAAAGTCCTGTTACTTAATCCATGACTCTGACCTCCTAAAGCAAACTGTGCTGCTTTGCAATGAAAGCACAGTGATTCAGTAGACAACATTTTGTGAAAATCTGATGAACTGCTGTGAGCCTTGAGCAGGGAAACTGCATGGGCAGTGGTAACATACAGCTGCCTGGGGTCTGATTGTGTTTGTGTAGCTCATAAAGTATCAGCTGACATAGATGACAAGACCGGTTAAAGTGTAATGACTGTGATTTTGGCAATAATTGACTTCTCGTTTTTTCAGGATGGACCAAATTTGCACGGCTAACACGTGCACTCACCAACAACCGCAACACCCTACAGCAACTGGCGCCTATTGGCAAACCTGAAGTCAGCCATAAACAGTCCAGACTGGCGGAGGTGAGCACATACGTTATATGAAGAACATTTTTGTAGTTTTTTTTTTGCAGGTACTTATCCTAGGTCCGATGAAAAAGTTACTCAGTGCCACCTATAAAAAAAAAAAAGAGACCCAAACCAATTTTGGCACATCGCCCCTTCAAGGTAATCATCTCGTAGATTTGGGTTTTGCATAATGGCTCATCACTGGTGATAAGAACCAGACCACAGATTATGACCCAAAGATGTACAAGTGCAACAGGACTTCATGGAGTGATCTAAAGTTGTGTTTGAGACATTGTAACTGGCCAAGAAGGGGACATGTGCTCATCTATTTATTACTTTGTTATTTTCAGGATGTCCTGATGTAGGAGACAGACATATGTCTATGTCTTTATAATGTTGGGCTTAAGACTTTCCTGTTTGGCAAAGCTTGTAGCTAGGGCTGGATCAGGTGACACTGAACCTACCCTTAGTTATGCTGCAAGGCTGTTGGTGGCTATTAATTATGAGCTATTATTAATCTCTGGCTCTCTTCCACAGCATGTCTTTTATCCTGTCTTCCTTCCCTCACCCCAATCGCTCGCGGCAGATCGTTGCCCCCCGAGCCTGCTTCTGTCGGAGGTTTCTTCCTGTTAAAAGGGAGGTTTTCCTTCCCACTGTTGCCAAAGTGCTTGCTCATACAGGGGTAGGCAATCTTAGTCCATGAGGGCCGGTGTCCCTGCAGGTTTTAGATGTGTCCTCGAACCAACACAGCTGATTTAAATGGCTAAATTAGACTGAGATTGCCCACCCCTGTCATAGGGGGTTGCCTGATTTTTGAGGGTGCTCTGTATTATTGTAGTATCTTTACAATATTAAGCACCTTGAGGAAACTGTTGTTATGATTTGAGTATTAGCTTGCTCAACTTTGAGGTTTAAAAAGCTTTTTTCCCCACCTAAATTGTACTTATGCCATGTGTGCACAAGGTTTCACTAGATACAAATAGTTTTTTATCTGGCTGAAGTTGGTAACACAAGCTGAACTGCTCACACAGATAGATAATTTGCTGGTTACCTAGTAATAGCAGCTAGCTGGCTAATCCTAGCTTGATAAAAAAAAAGAAATTGTATTATTGTAAATTTAAGTGCGTTTTCTGTTTGCCTGCTAACCTTTAAGCAGTGCAAAACCTTCTATTAATTGTTCCATTTAAGCAGCAGCTTAGTTCTTCAACTTAAACTGAAAATCATTCCCATTTCTTCATTCTGCAAACAACATAGTCGCTAACTGTACACAGCAAATCCAGCATGTCCAAATTAACACTGTCGGATTTGATTTCAACACTATTAAAGTGTCTATATGGGTCCACACCAGAGAGTGTTAATTTAACTCTTTTTGGAGAGTTGGTACGTTAACTCTGATTTAGTGTTAAACACCAAATCTGTCTGGAGTTGATAATTTAACACTTGGTGTTAAGAGTTTATATATTAACTCTCAAAGAGTATTTTAGTTTAACTACGTAAGAGTTATCTTCTAATTCATTCTAAAAAGCGGGAATTTTACTGTTCTGAACTTCTAGAAATTTCTTTTGGAAATAAACATTTACTAAAAAGACGCAATGGTTTTTGAAAAACATTTATTCTGAACTGTGCACCACAATTTCAAAACATTTTCTGAAAGATGTAACAGTATACATGTTCTCACTTTCATTAGAATTTTGTTTATCAAAAGGTCTGACATGGTAAATGCAAATAACAGCATTCTCATCACTTATTTCTTCAATACAATATGCATGTCCTTCATTCATCACTTTGTGGAACTTCAACGCACTTCTGCTCTCCCCCATATTCCATCTTCACAAGCATATCCTGTGTGGAGATCGAATAAAAATTAGTTGACACTAATTAATGGCACAAATAATCCAGTAAACAATTGCAGCACAGTAAAAAAAAAAAAGGAATCCTCTTTGAGCCATTACTTGTGTAAAGTATTTTCCCAAAAGACAAAGACACAGGCAACAGGTAATACTGAACTAAATGTAAAACCTCAACCTTTTTAATTTTTACCTAAACCGTGTGCACAAAACTCTGGAGGGATCTAAATACTAACGTAGAATCCAGGCAGGACGCCTGCTACTGCTGTTTGCTCGTTTTTTTTATGGGCGATCGTTTTCAGGCTTCAAGTAGCACCATTATACCAACATTTCACATTCTAGACATTGTTTTAGGTGTATTTGACCAAAAGTTTGACTGAAAATTCACATGCAAGCTTTTTTCAAGGCTGTGGTATTTGCCCGCAAACAATACCTTTCAGCTAGCTAAAACAGAATATTATGCTATCACCGAGCAACATGGCTAATGCCTTTCACACAGCTTTGTCTCAACTCCAAAGAGCCACAGAAGTAAAAGCTCATAATAATAAATGAAACAATCTTTGAAAAAATGACTTACCAAGCAGGGCAAACAACTCAAATATGTAGAGCAAAATGTTCTGAAACGGCTTCGCTTCAGCTTCGATTGGAGCCGTGCTGGGGGCGAAGTCTGTGAATTTACTCTGTTGGTGTCATAGCCCCTGTAGGAGTTCAGAGTTAAGAGGTCAAGAGTTAATGTTTCCATTGTAACACCTCCAGATTTGACTCATTTTTAACACTCGATTTTAACTACTATCATTTTACACCTCAGAGTTACATTAAAAGAATGTGACTCTACTTAGAGTAAAATTAACTCTACTTTTGCAAGAAGACTATTAACACCAAAACATTTAACACTTTTGAATTTGCTGTGTAGCTACCCTGTCACACCAGAAGGAGTCTTCTGTATAAACACACACACTGTAAATTTGCCACCCTTGAAATATTTCTGCATCAAAAAAATCCCCGTATAAAAGATGTATAGCCTCCTTCTGACCATATTCCCAAAGCTCACTAAAAGAGAACATCAACTTTTACAGTCAAAAACATGCATATGCAGTCACAGGCTTCACCTTTTCCTAAACACGCACACCACCCTCCCCTTAACTGCTGTTGTTGGAAGTAACACATTCCCTGCTGCTCCTCTGAACTGTGGGCACCATTCAGGACAGGTGGAGAGACAGAATAGGGTGGTGCGAGCACTCCAAATGATTGTGCTATAAAGTTAGAAAATGGATTGCAGGGTGGAAAGAAGATGGTTCATTTTCCCAGTTTTCATCAACCTGTTTTATTCATGAATGTTTGAGGAAGGTGTGATGCCTTTAATCAGAGTTTGTTTGTGTTTAGTGCATGATGCAAGAAGTTGTGAGGGTTTCTGGGAAGGTGTTACCGACTCAGGTGTCCTAAAGGTGAAACAGAGGTGAACTGAGAAAGGTGGAGAAAAAGAACTACAAAGAGAGGGAAGAGAAAGGAGTGGAAGTAGCAACTTAAGAGGGAAAGAATGGCATGAGAGAAGGAGATGTGGGAGAATGTAAGAGCAGTAATGTTTAGGAGAGAAGTAGGAAGGAAGGACTGGAAAAAGAAATAAGTTAGACCTGGTATAACAAGCTAATGCACTCTCTTAGCCGTTTTCCTGGCCTGGTGCTGGATGGGTTACAGGGTAATGTGTTGAGGGTGCTCAGCAGACACTGCAGGTGAGCCATCTGCTCTGCAGTCTGAAAGGCACAGCTGGCGTCTGTCAAGGATGCTGTTGAGTGTCTCACGTCTAAGCAGGGATGTGTGCGAGTGTTTTTTTTTCTTCTCCTCACAATGCTTCTGTGGGTTAATTGGCAACCTCGTTTCTGAGCTGTGGTGCAGCTCTTGACCAGTTTGACTGACAGCTTTGATGAAGAGAATTAGAAGTGACTGAGCTCTGATGTTATGAAGCTTGCTGTTAAACCTCAGCTCTGTCAATCCATCGTTTTATTTAGCATCAAACTGAATCCCAGTGTGAGGACAGTTTGGGCTAACTGAGGCCACGCTGTCCCAACTGTTTTGTCAGGAGAAAATGATGATGACATGCAGTATCAGTAGTTTAGGGTTATTACTTGTAGTCATCGCAAATACAATAATACCAGAACCAGAAGAGCTGTATTGGTAGTAACTATAAAAACAGCAATTTTACTATTAGAGCTGTATTACTACTAAATATGTATATTTAACAGGCTTCTTTCACCGAATACAGAAACCTGTTAATGTGTTATGTTTGCGGCGGCAGAATATATTACAGCTCTGTAGCTGACACAAATAGACTATTATTTTGTATAAATAATGAGTCGAATGGTTAATGTGTGATCTGCATGTGGAGCTGCTGGATTTAATGGAGTCTGTTCTGTAGAGGTGGCTGAGCTTGGCAAGGGTGATCATCACCACGCTAGGAAATAGACTACGTATTCTTTTAAAAAAAATGTTTTTAATTTAATTTTTTGGTCATCTATTCTTTCCCCCCTCTCTCCTTTTCTTCTTGCCAATTTCAGTCCCCCTTCTGTGTCTTCCCCACGTCAAGCCAAAATGTATTCATAATACATTTCTGTCACCAACAGCCTTACAGAAGAACAGACGTGATGAATACAGATTAAAACTGAGAGGAAAAACTTTTCCTTCACAGTGCTGAGCACCATGGGCTGATGATCGTTAGACTTAATAAACAAAAACAAAACAAGGACTGTTTTTGTTGAGCTTTCTTTCATCTATTTCACTAATTTAATTTCCCCCTTTCTCTTGTTTCCTTTCTGGAAACCGTGCATGTAGTTAGTAAAAAACAGAAACGTGCAACCGTCTTTCTTGGACTGCTGTTACAAACATCGCTGACAGTTAGAAATTCGCTTGACAGGACAAACTTTTCTCTAATGAACTAATAAATCGGACTCACGCTGGAGAAAGAACCAGGGGAATTTTAGCTTTCTTTGGAATTCTTGCATATATAAAATTTTCTGCTAATTCAAATCAGTATTAAAGGAAACCTGCAGCATCATGCTTTCCTTTAGTTCATTTCAATGCCACAATGTTGATATGAAACTGGTTTCCCAATGTTTCCAGTGTCTTTCACTTCATGCAAAAGCAGGTCCAGCAGTACAGTTAGTATGGCTCACCCGGCTGCTCTTAGCAGGATTCCAGGAATTGGCTAATGAAGTGAAAATGGGCTTTTAGGGAGGGATTTCTTAAACAGACAACAGATAAAAATGACTTGTTTCTGATAGACAATCAACTAAGAGCCCAGAGATAGAAATAAAAACAAAACAAAAGCTTACCCTTATGCATTCTCAGAGTTTAAAAAAAGAGCTGGAAATGCATAAAATGCATAAACAAAACTGGCAGTTCAATATTTACAAGTTTTTAACACACAAAGATGCCGAAGAGCTGGAAAATCACTTATTAATTCATGTTATTAGTAAAATGTACACTTACATATACAAAAGCCACAGATGTCTAAAGCATTAACCTGTTTTTTACCCATACTGTACATTTACTGTTGTATTTTGTTTAGACTAAGGGTGCTTTTGATGAAGAACTGAAGTCTAATCATATTGCTGTTTCCATCTGCAAAACCACCTCCAGGTTTTGCAGCTAAACTCTGACATCCTCCCGCAGTACAAGCAGGAAGCCCCCAAGACACCACCTCACATAATACTTCACTACTGCACCTTCAAGACCACATGGGACTGGGTTATCCTCATCCTCACCTTCTACACCGCCATCATGGTGCCCTACAATGTCTCTTTTAAGACCAAGCAGAACAACATTGTTTGGCTGGTGCTAGACAGCGTAGTCGACGTCATCTTCCTGGTGGATATCGTTCTCAACTTCCACACCACCTTCGTGGGGCCCGGTGGAGAGGTGATCTCTGACCCCAAACTCATTCGGATGAACTATCTGAAGACTTGGTTCGTCATTGACCTGCTGTCGTGCCTGCCCTATGACATCATCAATGCCTTTGAGAATGTGGATGAGGTAAGTTTGGGCATTTCTACTGTTGTTAGAGGTGCAATTACCTAGAATTCTCACAAACCTAAATCTCAATTCAGCCCTGAAAGTGGCCGACAACATTAAAACCACCGGTCTAAATATTGTGTAGCTGCCTCTTGTGCTTCCAAAGCTGCTCTGATCCATCAAGGTATGTTCTCCATTAGACCTGTTACGGTGACGTTGTTGTACTAATTACCAAGATGCTAGCAGCATATCCTTTAAGCCATGCAGAGTCATGTTGAGGTGGCATTTGGAAGCCAAAGCAACATCTTGAACCTCAAACCTTTTTTTAAAGTGTGGCAGTACGCATTGTTCTGCTGAATGGGGCTGAAGATACAGTTGACTTTACGAGGTGCACTTGTCCTGCAGTGTTGCTTTGGTTTTGGTACATGTCAGTGTAACATTCGCATTAATGCCAGGACCAAACATTTCCCTCTTGTCAAAGGTGCTCAGGCCCTTTTGCTCATTTTCTTCCCTCCTCCTACTCAACACATCCATTTCAAAATGTAATAGATCTGTTTCTTCCTAATATATTTCACCCCTTTACAGGTGCCATGGTAACAAGATGATTTATATAATTATTCACTTTACCTGTCAGTGCTTTTAATGTTGTGGCTGAATTGTGCACCTCTCAAATAACCTTTTTGACTATTCGTCAAATTTTTTGCCTTCTTTAGACTTCAGGGTTAAAAATCGTTACTGAAGTACAAGATGCAGTGAATGAACAGAAGCTTTTGAGCTTTTTTAAAATAAACAATGCCTAAGTGCTCAAACTTTATAGTTCTTCTAGGATTGTCTCGCTATCTTTTGTCTATTCATGCAGTCCTCGTCTCAATGCGTGATCTTGAGATGACGGGTTCGTATGAGAGTGGGCTTCTTCTTTTTGTGGCTGAAATGAGTAAACATTTAAAAGGGACTAATATGTTTCCTGGTACTGTTCTGTCTGTAGTCAGTCTGTCAGTTTGAGCCAGATGTGTAACAGATTATTTTCAGATGATTCAGAAGATGACTGATGATTGTTTTTTGATTCACCACATGGGCTTTAGTGGCTCCGTAATTCATTTACATCTAAATGAAAGGGATGTCATTACACAGCAAAAATCAGGCTTCGTGTTATACTTCCAAGATTACTGTAAGTTCTCTCGAGATGATGACTCATCAAGCCATTATGTCAGTCGTTTCCCACAGTTTGCTGATTGGTTGAGTTTAAAGCTCGGGGGCACAGATGAGTCACAGTGAATGTTTGTGACCCCATTTACACCTGCTATTAACAGGCAGTCTGTGTCTGCACGTCTTATCAGGACAAGGTAAGAAGGCATTTAATTCAGGTGTAAATGCAAATGTAAAATGTGATGACATTGGCCAAACCAGGTCTGGAGATGGTCACAGCTTGAGCTGTAATTGGATCTTGTAATGTAATTGAATTCTGTCCAGTGTGGTCACTATTTAAAGAAATAAAAACATCAAAACATTTGATGAAATCAAACATATGTTGGAAAGCCAAGAATTATGATTAATACCAAATGCAGCTGCAGGTTATATGTTGAAATCAGATGTACATGGGGTCATGTACTAATATGAAGGGGACGAATATGAAGCAAAATCTAAGCTCATCTTGCTTCTGTGATGCTATTAGGTTGTATTTTGGCAGATTTAAAATCTTTTTAGGTTAAAGGGATGCACAGAGGAGGAAAGATTTTGAATATTGGAGACAGGATTTGCTCTTCCTCTTCCCAGAAGAAAGTGAGTGTCTGCTCTAGGGCATAATGACTGAACATGAGTTGCATGGATTTTTAAACATGCTAAAAGGTACTGCCATCAGATTTTCAGAGTGGTGGAGAACTCCTATGTCCCAGCTTTTCCTCACAAGGAGGTTAGAGAAAATACTGTTGTACTGATGTTCTCCTGCACATTAGAGAGTTTGATTTCTGGTTAAGGTTTCATAATGAGATCGAGCTCATTCGGAGTATTTTTCACGCCCACTTACCTCCATCAGATATCGTGCAGTTATATCAATATGGCCTCAAGTCCATTAAAGGTGATTTTCCACTTGATTTCCCAGCAGTTAATTATATTTCAGCCCGAGTGTACGGAGTAATCAATTGAACGTAGAATGAAAAGAACAACTAATATCTACTGAAGTTTTACTCGTGTAATTCTTCGTTTTTTATGTGTTTCAACATTTAATTATTTATGTTTGATTTTTGCTCTTGTTGTGACACGTGCTTCTGAGCTTGTGAAAAAACAAAGTGCGACTTGTGTTTTTTGCATTCAGTGTATACATGCATACATGTGTGTCTGCCAAGCTGGGCTTTAATCACATGAGTGCTCAGATGCCAGGAATAACAATAATAATACCAGCATTTAAACTACCAGCAGCTGAATTTTAATCATCTATTAATTTTTCATTTCACACCTCTCTTGGCATTTTGTTCTTGTTAACATTTGGACTGACACAACATGCTGAAATGCTCACACATTCTAGTGGCTTTTTTTGGTAACTATTCTTAACAGCTCTTAAAGGCACAACAAAGTTATCTTTCTGTGTTTTCTAACTTAAATGTGCACCTACGAATCAGAACCAGAATACTTTATTAATCCCAGAGGAAATTATGTGGTTACAGCTGCTCAAAGACAGTAAGGACAGAAGTACCAACAGTATTAAATAATACAGTCACTGTCACAAATAGCTCTAATGCATAAAAATATCTCCAAAATCATACACAGAAGAGATAAAAAAATATCACACTGACAGGTATTTTCATTTTCAGGATGTACAGATGTTGTTAATTAACTTTTTTTGTATTTTTATATTTTATAATTCTTTAAAAATCCCAGTGTTTTAGAGAGATCATTTGTTCTGAAAGAAACAAATAGATATTTACTAAACAGTTTGTCATATACATAGATCTGTACTGTATGTACTCTATCTTCTGGAAATCTGAATGAAACTTTGCATGAACAATGTCACACATACTGCAGTTGTCTAGATTTATACGTTTAAAAAAATTATTCTAAATGGCAATTCTTTGGCTTTTTGACATGTTACATTCATTTCTCCGCAAATGCGATGTTACCTTCTCTGTTTGCGTTTCTTTCACGTGTCAGATTCAACATATGTTACAGATTTCCCCTTACATTTGTTATATTTAGTAATTTATCCTTACTTACGCAGTTTAAAAATAAACTAATTTCACTGTCACAACAAGTCGAGGATTACTTGTTTACATTCTTGCCCAACTGCTTGGCTCAGCTGGTTGTTGTGTTTGTGGCATTGCAAAGATACGTTGCCAACAGAGGAGTTGCAGAGTGCCCTCTGGTGAACAAATGAGCAATAGCAACAATCATAAGTGTTGAGTAGAAAGTTTAAAATGTTTATTTAGCTGCCGTCACAAATGATGATACCAATATATAATTGCAAATACCTAATACTAGCTGATATATTGGTAGCACCCATAGATCAGTTGGACCAGTCAGATATTGTAATATTACGTTTTTGGTAAAGGTAAGAAAAAAAGTTAAATGAATCGATTCATGTTTTATAGTTTCTGTTTCAGTTCAACTCATTACTTGCAGTATTACATTATGACCTGTTAACAGTGAACAGCATATTAATGACATGTGCATAAATATGCAGTAAACACTGAGTGAAAACGGTTACAGGGTTTTCAAACTATTTCCTTTTTCTATTTCAGCTGAAACATGGCGTGAGGGTTGAATTACTGGTAATTAATTCATGGCCCAGTGTCACAGCCAGCCTTAAACCTCCCCCTCAGCATGTTTTTGTGGTTGTTTGCATTGGCTGGCTGACTGTGTCCACTGTCAGAGTGAATGATGTATTATATTGTGGATCATTCAGTAAGTGTCTGGAGCTGTGCTGCGTGTTAGTTCAGGTGTCTCTTGTCCTCCGGCCTCTCACCGCCGGTCGCTGATGGATTCGATGAGATCCCTGCTAGGTGGAGTTTTGTGTTGCTGCCTTTCAAATAGTAGACAACAGTGAACTGGGAGAGGAAGTGGAGTGTGGGGGAGACAGGCAGAGAGGAAATCAATGGCACGTAAATTTCCAGAGGACACAGTCAAAGCCTCTCTGCCCCTCTTTGCCTAATTGACATTTTTGTTGCTGCTTTTCTGTATTAGCAGGCTAGAAGAATGGATGCATGCTGACTGAGGACGGTGTTTGGGCGGCTTAAGGTGTAATGTGAAAGGAGAAAGGCAGAAATTATTTTAGCCTCATTTCATCCTCGTGTTGATGCATTCTATGGCTGAAGCAGGCGGGGAGTATTTTTAGTTGTATTTTAACGCAGGTTTCAAATGTTGTCAAGCCATGCCAAAGCATGGTGAGATGTAGGTGCTGCCAACACATCCTTACACATACTTGCTTACACACAAACGCATGACTTTTAGGGCTGTCATAAGAGCTCTCATAAGAGCCTTAAAAGTCATAACCAGCCATATATATATATATATGTATATATGTATATATATGTATATGTATATATATATGTATATGCAGAAGATACCAGAGTTTGGAGAACTTTTCTTTTCTGTCTGAATAACAACATAGTATAGCCATATGGCAATGTTCAGTATTTTTCATAATAACAAGGCTCGTTAGTCCCAATTATATTGTTTTTGACAATCAGTGACAGTACTTTGAGCCACAACACTGCTTAACATTGTGGCTAATCAAAACTAGAGATGCAGTTCCTCTATTGCTCATCTTTCAATGATTGACTTTGACTTTGAAGCATTTTAAGTGTCAGAAAATAAACCTAATGTCCTCAGAGAGCTGCTTTGCCTGGCCAGCTATCCCATACTCAGAGATAATCACTTTACAACGATGCAAAACAGAGAAAACTTGTGAAAATGTTTTCCATTTTTAGGGTATTTGAGGGAAAGTGAAAAAGACAAAGTCATTACAGCAGTGAAAACAAGAAAAGAATTAAATTCTATCTACCTAATTAACATAATTGTTTCAGCACATG